AAAAAGATGTTCCCCTCTCTATACTAAGCATAGAAATACAGCAAGTTCTACAAAGGGGGAGAGCTCTCCTCACTACTATTAATCCCAGAAGGTTGGTAACCACTGTTGCAAGCTAGTAAGGCTTGTGGACTTAAGACTGTTCCAAATTTTGCTTTGCAAGCACATCTCTCAAGTACTGTGCATTCATCCTACAAGCCACAGAAAATGAGAAAATTGAGCATCTAGATATGTCCCTTCCGAGGCATCTTACAGTAGCATTCTTTCCTTTAAAAAGTGTTTGTTCCCCAAAACAGTTTTTCAGAGGAAAAAGTTCCCCTAACAGGAAAAGGTGTTACTTAAATGCAAACTGCCACTGCCTTTTCAATAAAATTAGGAGTCTCAATCTTTATTAAAAGACTTAAAGGCAAAGAATACAATGAATCCATGGATGGAAACAGGTAACAACCTTTCCAAAGCACCTTTAAAAATATTATAAATTTCCCAGGTTATACATTCACTGAAGTTTCAATTCTTTCCTCTGCTTTAACATGTTGTGGCTTGATTCCAACAGGGCTATCTTGAGGTGAATGAGACAATGTCTGTACACCTCACTGCAGAGAGAAAATACTGAAAAGTACCTCTGAAGTTAGTGAAGTTGCCTACCTGTAACTGATGTTCAAGTGGTCTTCTGTGCATTCACACATAAGGACTCTGCATCTGTGAAGGGCCTGTTTAACCATTTTGAAGGAGCCTCATGCCTTCCCTGCACAGCATATAAAGGCAGGTTTCCAGTGTTCGCAAGGCCAACTTATTGGCCTTCGAACTGGAGAAGAGGGGCCATTTCAAGCCCTGAACATAGCAACATGGTGGTGGTGATTGTTGTTGCCAGTCGCAAAGTCATGTCCAACCCATTGCGACCCCATGGACAACATTCCTCCAGGCCTTCCTGTCCTCCACCATCTGCCCAAGTTCACTTAAGCTCACACTGACTGCTTCAGTGACTCCATCTAACTACCTCATTCTCTGCCGTCCCCTTCTTCTTTTGCCATCAATTGTTCCCAGTATTAGGCTCTTCCCCAGTGAGCCCTTCCTTCTCATTAGGTGACCAAAATATTTGAGTTTCATCTTCAGGATCTGGCCTTCTAAAGAGCAGCCAGGGTTGATCTCCTCTAGGACTGACCAGTTTGATCAGCTTGCAGTCCAAGGGACTTGCAGGAGTCTTCTCCAACACCAAAATTCAAAGGCCTCAATTCTTTGGCGCTCAGCCTTCCTTATGGTCCAACTTTCACAGCCATACATTGCAACTGGGAAAACCACAGCCTTGCCTATACGCACTTTTGTTGGCAGGGTGATGTCTCTGCTTTTTAGTGTGCTGTCTAGATTTGCCATAGCTTTCCTCCCCAGGAGCAAGCGTCTTTTAATGTCTTGGCTGCAGTCCCTGTCTGCGATGACCTTGGAGCCCAGGAGAATAAAATCTGTCACTACCTCCATTTCTTCCCCGTCTATTTGCCAGGAAGTGAGAGGACTGCATGCCATGATCTTAGTTTTCTTAATGTTGAGTTTCAAGCCAACTTTTGCACTCTTCTCCTTCACCCGCATCAAGAGGCTCTTTAGTTCCTCTTCACTTTCTGCCATTAGAGTGGTATCATCTGCATTATCTGAGGTTGTTGATATTTCTCCCAGCAATCTTAATTCCGATTTGTGATTCATCTAGCCCCCCCTTTCTCATGATGCACTCTGTATATAAGTTAAATAGGCGGGGCAACAGTATACAGCCTGGCCGAACTCCTTTCTCAATTTTGAACAGTTCTCACTGTTGCTTCTTGACCCGCATACAGGTTTCTCAAGAGACAAATAAGATGGTCTGGTACACTCATCTCTTTAAGAACTTGCCACAATTTGTTGTGATCCACACAATCAAAAGCTTTAGCACAGTCATTGAAGCAGAAGTAAATGTTTTTCTGGAACTCCCCAGCTTTCTCCATGATCCAGCGTATGTTGGCAATTTGATCTCTAGTTCCTTTCTTGCATTTCTTTTTCTTTGGGATGGTTTTAGTTGCTACCTCTTGTACAATGTTGCGAAACTCCGTCCATAGTTCTTCAGGCACTCTATCAGATCTAATTCCTTAAATCTATTTGTCACCTCCACTGTATATTTATAAGGGATATGCTCTAGGTCATCCTGAGTGGCCTAATGCTTTTCCCTACTTTCTTCAACTTAAGCCTAAATTTTGCAATGAGAAACTCATGATCTGAGCCAGTCAGCTCCTGGTCTTGTTTTTACTGACTGTATAGAGCTTCTCCATCTCTGGCTGCAAAGCACATAGTCAATCTGATTTTGTGTTGACCATCTGGTGAGGTCCATGTGTAGAGTCATCTCTTGGGTTGTTGGAAAAGAGTGTTTGCCATTACTAGCATGTTCTCTTGATAAAATTCTGCCGGCCTTTGGCCTGCTTCATTTTGTACTCCAAGGCCAAACTTGCCTGTTATTCCAATTATCTTTTGCCTTCCTACTTCAGCATTCCAATCCCCCATGATGATATCATTTTTGGTGTTAATTCTAGGTGTTTTAGAACTTCATAAAACTGGTCAACTTCAGCCTCTTCAGCATCAGTGGTTGGGGCATAGACTGGACAGTACCAAAAGCAACATGGTACAGATGCAAAAAGGTAGAAAGAGCATCAACACCAATGTGAGGTCGATGGGTGGGTTGTGTGAACACACAACTTACTCAAAGAATGCAGTTACAGGTAACCAACTTCACTTTCTTCTTTCTGGTCTGCGCATCACAAATATGGGTGACCAGCAAGTGTACCTTGGATGGAGGAGAGACATCAGTGTAAGCAAAGGACTGCCCAGAGGATTGCTCAGCCAAAAAAGCAGTCTTGTCAGATGCAAGTGAGGTGGTAGTGTCGCATGAAGGCTGATGAAGCGGCCCATGCTGCTGCTCCACATGTGTGTTCTATGATATACCGACATGCAGTGCCATGGATGCCATCGTTGCTCTGATAGTGTGTGCTTTTGGTTTTTCTGGGAGCTCTAGTCCAGTTAGTTCGTAAGCCAGCTTGATGATTTCTACAATGCAAAGGCTAACCTCTGTGGTGTTACGGGTTTGCCTTTTGACCTTTCTCCATGAGAGACAAATAGTCTATGGATTGGCAGCATAGTTTGGTATGAGACCAACAGAAAGCTAGGGCCTTCAGACTGTCAAGCTTATGGAGCGCCCTTATTTGCACGGCTGGATGGCATCAGAAAGAATGGTCATATCTTGGTTTACGTAGAAACATGAAACAACCTCAGGCAGGAAGGACTGGATGGATCAGAGAACATTTTTATCTTTATAGAAAATAAGGAATGGGTGGGGCAATCTGGAGAGCAAACAGTTCACTGGCCCATCTCGCTTAAGTGATCTGTACTAACAATGCAAACTTCCAGGAGAGAAGGTGGACATCAATAGTGGCTAAAGGTTCAAAGGGTGGTCTTGTTAGGACTTGCAAGACCACTGAGAGGTTCCATCCTGGTTCGATCAGTCAGGAACTAGGTTAAAAACCTTTGAATGACCCATGGAATTCCAAGATGGTAGTTAAATATAGCCTAATGGAAGTCAGTTTCAAACCCTGGATGATGGAGGAAGGTAAAGACCGATGGACGGAGACTGTAGTCAGCTTGAATCCTTGGTCTCAGGAGAAGCACTTGAATTTCTCCCATTTAGTTCCGTATGATTGTCTGGTGGTTGGCTTTAAAGCAGCACCAAAGATTAACTGTATCTTGGGTCACAGGGGAGCTTTCCTATCCACTCACTGATTCTCCATGTTGTTAGCTGGAGGGTCTCAACATCTGGGTGTAGGATTACTCCTCAGTCCTGTTAGATTTTGTCTCATTGGGAGTCTGGTGAAAATCTGAATGGAGAGATGCAGAAGGTCTGCAAACCAAGTCTGTTGAGGCTACTATGGTGTCCGCAGAAAGCAGCTGGCCAGGTCTCATCAAATCTTGGCCAGTACTCTCATGATGAGAGGGAATAGAGGGAACAGATTTTTAAAAGTCCTGTTCCAATGCACAACAAATGCATCTTCCATGGAACTCTTGCCAATCCTCACTTAGCAGCTATGTCTGCACTGTGCACTGCTTGGTGTAGCAAAGGGATCTATGGACAGTGCCCTCCAGGTTCAAAGAGGTGCTTTACAATGCCTGGGTATAACTCCCATTTGTGGGTCGTGTTTAACCTTCTGCTTAGTCTGTCGGCTATCTTGTAAATACTGGCTAAGTGGACTGCTATGATAGTGATGTTCCAAGCTCCAGTTCAAAATTTGTCTTGTGAGGAAAGTGGGGAAGACAGAATACACTCCGCCCTGCTTCTTTAGATGTCCGCATCTCATGCTTGAGAAAGCTTGCCCTATTCTTCCCCACCTGTCTGACAAAGACTTGGCAGTATGGCCAAGAATTTACTGTGATCCTCACCCAATCAAAACAGACAGAATGCCTATCAGAAGAGGGCATTTTTGTGCCGCAGTACACACATTTTTGAAACACTGTCCCAAGTGCCATGGGGGCAGGGAAAGAAATTTTAATGGTAACAAAATAGAAATTTCTGAGGGAAACCAATGAGGGTTTTTTCTTTAACAAAATGGATAAGGTTTAGGTAAAAGTACAGAAAATAGATTTTTTTGAGGAAATCTATGAAAATAAGGTAAAGATTCTAGAAGTCATGAGGTAAAGCTAGGAACAGAATGAATCCAAGGGACCCAAAACTGCAGTCAAAAACAAACTGGGGAAAATGGTGGGAGCCCTGCCAAAACACCTAGCAAGGAAATATTTCTGACAACAGGTCCCACACAGGGACAAAGCTCTTATGTGTGATGCACAGAAACCACAAAAAACTATTGTGGAAATACCTACTCGGAAACAGAATTGCCTACTAAACTCTAGGGCCAATAATGTACTTACTTGGTTTTGAAAGATTTTGCTAAATGATAAAGACAAGAAACCAGAGCAACATTAACTACAAAGTTTTGAAAACTTACCCAAATGCAGTAGCGCAAACTGTGCTGCTAATTCTTTTGCATCCTCTACTGTTGTGCAGAGTTTGTCTGGCATAAAATAACTCTGAGATCCATTTGCAACAGAAGGAATAACAATCTTATATACTAGCAATACCTTTCCATCTTGACTTGTAGTTGAATATAAATAATACTCTGGCGGTGCCCAGTTATTTTTGTTGCAGTAATAATCTAACTGCATTGCTGCAGAACTAAAATAACTAGATTTTAATGAGTACATACTAATTGGAGTAAGCTTTGTTCCTGGAAAAAATGGGTAAGTACACCTTTCAATTTCAGGAGGACTTGGACTATGCTGTCCATTAAGGCGACCTGGAAGATTTGCTGGCTTTGCTAGCGATTTTTGATGGCTATCTTCTTTGCTTGTGAAGACTAGAAGACTGTCAGAATTGGGACTAATTTGACCATTAAGATGTTGTCTCCAAGTGCTTTCTTTGTTTACTGGTTTGGCTAGTGTTACCTCAATGCTAGCTCCGTCAATACATTTCCCATTCATAACTGACATAGCAGCAACTGCATCATCTCTGTTGAAAAAATGAACAAAAGCATAATCTCGAAGTTTCTTTACACGCTCAACAGCTCCAGGCTTAAATTTATTAAATTCAGCCTTAATTGTTTCTTCTGTAGTTGAAATCATCAAGTTTCTAACATACAACACTTTGACTCTCTGCATTGTTTCTTCGTCAACTTCTTTTTCTGGATCTGCCCAATCTACTTGAATTGTATGGCCCCATAACTGGAATGTTCCTATAAAAAAAGATGTAACAGTATTCTTCAGTTTCCATTCCTATTTTATTTATAGCAATATCTCTGACTGGCCATTCTATGTTCAAGCACACATCCAAGGTTTACATTAAAAACAATCCAAAGGAAACTCTAAGAATGGGATTTTAAAAAGACTGAATAGTTCTAACTTCCATCCAGGTTAAATACCTGCCAAACTAAAAACAGCTTGTATCCTAAGATAACTTAAGAAATCTGTTGAAGGTAAGTTTACTATCTTTTTCTCTCAACTGGAGTCCCTCAAAAGGCCTTTCCAAAGCTTATGGGAGTTTTTCCTAAGTTCTCCCTTACAGGACACCTATCCCATATTGTTCAGAGACCCATGCTTTCCCTCCAGAGAAGTATTTTGGGGGTACAATTTGCTGCAAGGAGGAGAATGGGATAGGAAATTTCCCTTCCATAAGATTTGGGATCCATGCCAATTTTTCAGAAAGGAACTAAATACCATCAAGGATGAGCCACAGTGGACAAGAATTTGGGAGCAAACATGCTTGTTTCTATAAACTGGCAATGTCATGCAAACCCATGTAGCAGAGGATTGTTTGAAGGTTAGACAACATTCATCCTATGGCATGTTTTAAGATTATCTAAGGCAGTGCCGGTCAGGGGGGAGGGGCTTGCCTGCTTGCCACAGACTGGAGCAAGGGCTGGCTGTGCTCCACCACCTCTTCTTCAGTTGGCATCACATTTTCAGGGGGTGTACCAGTGCCACCAGGGAGGCCAGGGGGTGGGGGTGGGGAGGGATAGCTCAGTGGGAGCCAGCTGGGAGCCACACCGTGCTGATTTCAGTATTTTGTATTTTTGCTGGCATTTTTTGTCACTCAGTTTCTCATTGAAAATTTTCATTTTTTGGTATTTGGAAACTAATACAGAGAATACTGTATGGTGCTTTTTGTTTCTGCCTTAGTGGTCACTGAGGTGGCTTTCCTGGTTTCACTCATCCCCAGCTGTGGAAAGGTTGAAAACAACTGATCTAAGGGTTTCTAGTCCTCAAATAACCTTTTCCACTGGTTTTGCACAACAAAGACTATAACAAGCTGGAAACCGAGGAGCACCCAACACAGAGCAACAGGCCCCACACGTAAATTAAGCCACAGTGGGCTGTTACTTCATATGAACTATTTCAGTATGTTGCCATGGAAACCAAAAAGTTAGCTAACTGCTATTCTTGGAGATTGCTGGGAATCTAAATGTCAGAGTGTAAAGACCTTTTTCCTCCCCAACTAAGGATAATGTAATCTAGATGCCTTCTAGTAAACAGAAAGTGAAAGTTAACAAAAAGCTGAGTTTGGAACTCTTTAAACATTTTAAGATGCTGGTGGTCTCTCTAAGATTTCTACTATCAAAACACAAGATTTTGGCTGTTAAGAGGATTTAAACTGCATGACTAGTTTGTTCTGTGTTCAACTAATATATTTGCAAATGCAGTCAAACCTCAACTTTTGCAGGGTTAACTTTCATGGATAACTTCTCATGAGTTTGCCATCAGTAATTAACTGGGATATTGGGGGGGTGGGGTAGGGGAGGGAGTTTTGTAGCCTCTGGCCTACTTCTCCACAGATAGCTGGAGTGGAACGCTCCTCTTCCTTGCCACCACTATGGCCAGCCCTGAACCACCCTCCCATGGGCTGGGCAGGGCAAACGCTGCCTCGGAACTGGGTGTACAGCCACACACAAGGCTTGCAATGGAGGATGAGCTCCCCTGAAACAGGCTGCACTCCAGAAGGTCAGATCTTGTTCTGAGCTGAAGGTTATTCAAATTATGAAAGATGTAATTGCAATGCAGCTACCAGTACATGTATGGTCAACAGAATTAAGAGTTAAGGTTCAGTGGGGGGCTACATATATTTGCCATTTTTCCACTTTCACAGGTGTCCTGTGCTCCTAACCCCCACAAATATGGAGGGAGGAGCAACTGTAAATTACAAGGCAATTAAAATATGCTTACACACTGATACAATCAACCAAAACCCCAACTTGATTATTACCAAAAACTAACAGTTGAAGATTAAACAATACTGATTTTTGGTCAGGGTTACACTTGTAGGGATGCAATGCCTAAAAGATTTAAGACACTAAGGTACTGAACTAACTTGAAATACTTAACTCATACATATAGATAAAAATAACAAACATCTATCAATTTTTCAGTCTTTCACTTATGTTTACTTAATAAAGGAATGGGGGAAAATGTGTAAACCTAAGTGACATTGCATATATCTATTTTTCAGTGTGAATTTGCATTTATAATCTGCAGCACACATTGGCTTCCAAAAATGTGTACATTCAGCAAAACGATTTGCACATAATACTACAAACAACTTTGCTGCTTTACTAAGAAAAATACCATCCAAAACAGGTTTGATGGTGGGAACCCAAGATTACAGGATCCAGATATACAAACCTAATAGTGCCTTACTCACGAAGACTTGCAGCTGGAAAATGTCACCAATAGTGTTAGGGAACAGGAGAGAACACAGTTATGCAACCAGCAAGGGCCAGTTTGTTTGGAGTTTTTACTAACTTTCATGCCTCAATAAAAGTACTGCACAAATTCAGTGCTAAGTATCTTGTATACATCAACTCATAACACTGCCAATTAAATTCATTTCAGTCCCTGGTTGTAACACCAAATGTGGCAAACTCAAGGAATTTGGGGGTAGCGGGGAGTATCAAGGCACTCTATATAGCAGTGTGTTAACTATTATCAAATTGTCTACTGATTAGATCACACTGCAAGGCAAAGGCTGAAGTACAATGAAATGATGTAAGCAAGGTATTTATTTCTGCTTGTTCAGCAAGTTTGCACCTGTCCATAATAATGAAGGGCAAGGCTATACTACAATGCATATAATCCTTATCATAATTAGAAAAGATGAAGATTACTAGGAAAGATGAAGTCAGGAAGTATGACATAACAAAGGTTAGGGTTAATTGTAACAATGGAAATGGCACCATACAAAACTTCCAGGTCATGCTTTCATTGTCAATCATCCAGCACTTTAATCTATCTTATTATGGTACTGAGCACAGTAAGTGACTGTGCCTGCAACTGCCTTTACATAAATTTGAGATTTATTCTTTGATGTAAAGTTAGTTCATTCAAGAATTAGACCGTCAAAAATTCACCTGCCTGGCCCACCACCCTCAGGGAAATGCAGTTTTAAAGGCCTCTGGAATTATATCTTGTTTCCCAAAACAAGAAGCATCAGAACACAGAGTAGGAAGTTGTGTGCTGTTTTTGAAGTGGTTAATACATTTTATATATCAGCTATTTAGGGAATCACCATGCCACATTTATTTTTAATAGCCTCTGATTTTATTGAACTGATTTTTTTCAGATTGCTTCAGATTTTTGTAGTTCATGCATTGTATTTTTCTTAGTTTTATTTGTACAACACCTTGGGTAAAACAGAGTATCAATAAAAAATACTGAACAAAAACAATGCAAAAGTTTGTCTCTCACTCAGCTTACATAAGCCTCTTTACAAACTGCCATAAATTATAGTGAGTCTATTCACGCATAATGGCAAATCATCGTTTAATTAAATGCACAAGTGAGAGAGCAAGCAAGTGTACTGCCTCCTGCACACTCTTCACTTCCACTTTACATCAACAAGTTATGATAGGTCAGGTTATAGGATGTTACTTTGATGTAACATTAGGTTGTTTCAGAGCAAAACAACCCAGCATTTAACAATAAGCATACGTTAACAGCTGGTTTGTTTAGCCCCTAAGCAACTGGGTACTCCAAATTCACATAACTTAAAATTGGGTGAGGCACAGCTTTATGATTAAAAACAAGAATGAACTAAATGCACACAGGAAGTGATGCACTTGCTCACGCCAGCTCAGGCACAGCAAATTGTGGCTAAATAACCCATGGTTTGCCATTATGTGGAAACCAGGTCAGTATAATTTAGAAGGTTTCCCCAACAAAGAAGTATCTTCTTTGTGTATGTGCTTACTCCATATCCACATTTATAACCTGCATCTATTATCTTAGTTTTGTCTCCCAAGCAACATTTTAACATGCTGAAATCAGTCAGTGCTGGGTTTGCTATATACTGAAATAAACAAGTAGCTCACCACACAATGTGTATCAATTTGTGAATACTTGATCTCATCAGAAGGAACACAAAAATAGATCCCCAGTTACATATGAAACCACGAATCCACTTACCTAGCAGGACTCAAACTTATATTTCTACTTGAGTATGTTGATACTATCAGATATGACAGCAGCCTATCACCATATTTAAACCCAGATCTGATTTAATCTGCTTGAAATTTGGGCAGGGAGATAGATATAAACAGCAAACAGGTGGGGAAAAACGAGAGTGGGACTGCAGATCAACAATTGCCAGGGATGGTCTACCACTTCCTGACCATCTTCCTCTTAATCATACCCACCCACTCTCTGCTTTTTTACACAAGTATCTGCCACATCTATCCTGACCCTTAAAGCACAGATCTAGGAATGAGGTAGTCAACAAGAACATGATTAAACTTTATATGGAAAAAAATATTTACCAGGAATCAATTTTCTCCTTGCCATAGCTGCAGCTCTGTGAGACTCATATTCTACGAAAGCAAAACCACGATTCTTTGTCTTGTCAGTTGCACTTGGATATACAATAACGTCTACTACACCTTCGGTGACTTTTTTCATTTCATCTAAGATCTCCTCTTTCTTCTTTTCCTTTGGAATAGCTCCAATAAAGAGTCTACAGTTATCCAAACTTACACAGACACCAATAAATTTTCCAGGACGAATCTCATAATTATTAAGGATCCTAATAGCAAGTTGAGCTTCTTCTTTGGTTGTATACATTACAAAAGCATATCCGCGATTCTCGCCACTAAATTCCATCATCAGTCTGAATTCATAGATCTTCCCAGCTCTTTCAAAAACAGGAACTAATTCATCCTCATACATATCCCGAGGAATTTTTCCTACAAAAACTTCACAGCCTCGGGGTGGTGGCGGACCTTCCCAACCTTAAAGAAATTGTTCAGTACCACATTGTGGCAAGATACTTGTCAGTAAAAATAGCATATATTATATTACTATTACTAAAATTTTGCTTCTGTATAAATCAGGAACTTTGCAACTTGTCATTTACTACATATTACATAAACTGGTTAAATACCTGTGGCATTTATTAGACAGTCTAATAGCTTTGTCTCTCTGACTAAGCCCTATTCTGTATTTTTCAAATAAAAATGCATTAACATTTAAGAAAAGATCTGCTAAATCCAATTCAACTTATTTCTAAATATGTATGGTCCAGATCACAAAATAAAATTAACGGGCATCAACCAGAATAAATCAGTGTAGATCTTAATCTTAGATGGGATGTAAAGAAGTATAAAGCTTAGTAAAACAAACATACAAACACCTAGCCTCTTACCTTGGAAAATTAACTGGAGTCCCCCATCAGTGTTAGATATATCTACACTGCATGCCTTGCTTTTTCCTGTTTTCTTTAATGTTCTTCCATACAGCCTACCCAAACATTAACAATTCAAGAAACAGATCAGGCTGATATTTTATGGTTTACTTTCTTACCCGGTGGAGGTCCACCAAATTTTCGTTGCCCATTTTCTTGAACCATGTTGTAGCCAGTCTTTTCCATAAGAGCCAGTAAGGCAGCTTCATTCTGAGTACCAGTTCTAACTTTGCTGCAACCATTTATTACATCTGTGTGATCTTCATTCATTGCTGTAGTGTCTTCAGAAAACATATTAATAAAGTTAGAAAGCAACACCTTGCACACTGTAGCTTTTTATATAAAGATCACATATATGAAGACACTTTTAACACTTGTTTTAGTAGTTATTGATATTCACGCCACTTGCTTTGTACACTGTGTGCGCCTGTCTTGTATATTATCCAATTGGATTTCATGTTGCATACTGGATTTAATAGTTTTATTCTACTAATGATTTTATCTATTTATGTTGATTGTTTTTATTCTCATTGTGAGCTTGAGTAGCCCTTGGGCTATGGGAAAGCATACAAATGAAATCATTAAAATTTATAAATAACCTAATTTACTATCCAGGAAAATTCATGATTATATATTAGCAAAAATTTCACAGATCAAGTTTTAAGTTTAAAAAATTATTTATTTGATATACAGTATTGTACATGAAAAGCATGGCTTATTCCCAACTTGAATTCCCAAAAGAAATAGATTACCAGTTTGCACTGTATTCACTCAAACTAATAATTAAAATTCTTTAAGCTGTTTGCATTAAATTTAAAAGGGCACATTCAAAATTACTTTATACAAATGTCCATGTGCAGTGAACTGTATGCTTTAAAAATGCTTAAATAAACTGTTAAATGTGCTCACTAATTGCGATTATTTTAATTATTATCTGGTGGACATTTTCTGCATTCAGAATGTAAGAGAAATGTGGGTTTTCCAGATTCCACTCCAAGCTGTACATCAGTTTAACAAGTTTTATATTTAATGCAACTTAAAAGTGCACCCTGTTAATGGTAAATGCTAAATAATTATCTCTTTAAAATAGTTTAGATTCAGACCTTGATCTCAATGCCAGGGATCCTCTTGAAATAGCAAGAGACACTTTTCAACAACTGCTCCTTCTCCCTGCAGCCCCCTGCCCCCTCTTAAAATCTCCAGTTCAGCGAACAGAGTACTGATGGAGGGAATTTTTAAAAAATAGCCTCATCTCCACTTCCATCCATCAGATCACTCTCTCCACTGTGTTAAGGGACCCACTAAACAGTCAAGGGGGCTGCATGGGGAAGTCAAAGAAATTGTCTCCCCCCCTTATCCATCAGTGGGATCCCCCTCTCTGCTGGATCAAAAAGCTTCCATGGACACAGGGAGCTTCTCCTTTTATGGACTGCTAAATTTGGATTCAATACATTACCTAATATATTTGGGCTTAAATATTTGGCCAAACAGAACAATAAATAAATTCTACTTAATATGGTTTAAGGTGCTATAATAAAACAAATTCAAAGCTTAACTCAAAAATGGTTCTTACTTTTGGTATAAGAATCTGTATGGGATAGCACCTATTCTGCAGCAATTAAAATTGGACTCTGGGCTTCACCTAAGTGTTTAACATACAAAGCCCTAAATGGCTTGGGACCTAATTACTTGAAGGGCCACCATTTCCAAAGTACTCCTATACCCAACCAATTGAGATCTGGGAATGAGGTCCCTGTGAAACAGCCATCCCTAACGGAAGTAAAGGGGATGTAAAAAGGAAGTAAAAGGCATGTAAAAGGCATTTAGAAGAAAGGCCCTCTCTATGATTGCCCCAAAACTTTGGAACAGGCTTCCTAAAGAAGTCCACCTGGTGCCATCTACTTTCATTGTGATACCAGGCAAAAACCATCCTCTTTTGCAGACTTTAGAAAACCTGGATTTAAAACTTGATTATAAGTGCTCACTCTGCTCCAACAGATTTCCTCCCCACTTCCCCATGTACCTGTACGATAAGCTGTATACTGGTATTAGAGAACTTAGAGAGTTCTGTCGGGCTACTGAGCAGCATATAAATTTGAAAATAAATATTTTATAAACTAAATCTTACTTGGATATTTTAAAGCACAGCAACTGAATTGAGGGTACTTTCCAGACACTGAAAAAATTAAGACACTGAAAACTAGTCATTTTCTTAAATCCAAAATGGTGCCTGCCGTTTATCTACACCATTACGCCCAGAAACGGCAAGTTTAAATTCGGCCATTCCTCGATATTGGTTTCTTTGTTCGTCCCCACTCCACCCCAAGCGACAGTCCCCAGAATGTCGTTTTGGTAGCTGCTTTGGAAAGAATTTGGATTTGGTACCCCGCTTTAACCAAGCCCACGCTAAAGAATGTTAAGTCGCCGTCAAGGGCTCGTCCCTCCCTCACGGGCCCCATTTTGAGACTCCCGAGTCACCCTTCCTCCCTTTCCTTGTAGTTTCTACTTTCCAGCGGGACACTGTATTTACATGGAGGGAAGCCCAACTTACCGCCCGCCCACCCGAAAGGGCAAGACTTAGCACTGACGATAGTAAGAGATGTTCCGTTTACCACAACGTGTGCGCGCAGGAAAAACGTGCCTACATACACAAGTGGATATACATTATCTACCCAAAGGTAGCCGAGCCAGCTCCTACCAACTAGAAAGGAGAAGCCTTCTTCTCTACAGAGAAAGCTGGACGAAGCTACCACGACCACCACTCACTGACCGCCGCTTGACCTGGCTGCTCCTGCCGCCGCCTACACCCTCTCCGCGGTGCGGGTGCTGGGCGGGTGGGAACGAGGCTGCGAGCAGGCAGACAAGCTCGCGCCACTTTCCGTCGGACGCTTCCGAGCCTGCGCCGCCTGTTTAGTATTGTGCTTTGATAAGATTGACGGCCTGCCTCGGCCAATGAGAGGCCAACCGATGGCGCAGCACGCGGTGAGGAGGGAAAATTCCTTTGTCCTCCCTCCTCACTCCCCGTAGCTCAGCCTCCTTCCCGCCCCCCACCACGCCGGTTTAAAGTGTGGGCGGGGCAAAGGGTGGGAAATTCGTTGGTGGGAGGGGAGGGGAAAAAAGGCGAGAGAAGAATCTGGTCGACGGAGCAGGCGGTTGTCCCAACGGACGCGAAATCGGCTTAATTATTGCCGTCAGCGACTGAAGGAGCCAATGGGAAAGGCGCTGCTGTGTCGCCTTCTTGGCCGAGGGAGGTTGCTGAACCGCACGATCCTGTGCAGGTGGGCTCCGGCATAAGCCCCGATGGGGCCACTGGGGTTCCTTCCGGGGAGGCGTGCGCAGGAATCCCATGCATTTTAGAAAAGAAGCCCTTCCACTAGCATTCCCTGCGCGGGGGAATGCGATGGGTTGCAGTTTTTTCCCCTGTCTAAATATGGGATTGTGCCTTTATGTACATGTGCCCTGAAGTATATCATATTGAGGTCAGAGCTTACGGCCATATATTTCTGCATTGCGTTGCATACTGAAATTGTTACGGCTTTCTCTGGATGTTTCTCTTATCAATACATTTATAGCTCACCTTTTCTCCTCGAAGGCACACGAAGCAATTTATAGGATTGTCCTCCTAGTTCATGAAGTTGCGAAAAAGAAAAGTTCACCCTGCATGCCAAACTGGGTTTTTATGACCAGCGCTTTTTTCCACAGCCAAAATGGTTTGATAGAAAAATTAACAAAAGATTAACAAAAGAGGTACTGAGGTCCTCCCAAAAATATTTTAAGCCTGTCTTCTGGTGCTGAGTTTTTAAAAATCCTGTTCAAGCAGTACAAATTACAAGCTCCTAAGAAATGTGTCCAGAAAATTCCTCTGCCTTCTTCTCCCACTTCATTCAGCACAGCTGCTCCAGCATACCTTCCAGTGGGCTTGACCTTTCCCAGTGTTGTCGCCAGGCTTCAGAGGCAGAGGCAGGCAGCTTGTTGCCTTCCAGATGAACACCGATTGCAACTCCTGGTTCCCTGATCCTTCATTGATGGCTATACTGCCTGGGGCAGCCAGGCATTGCAGTCAAACAACTGGAGGGCCGCAAGTTGCCCACCTTGTTCTAAATAAGATATGATACCGTACCTTGAAGGCCACTCAACTATAGCAAAAGTCTGGTTGGTGAAGAGGTGCTTTTGTAGCCCATTGGCTTCTCTTCATATTCAACATATTGTAGCAGGTCATTGCAGGGCAGCCTTGGAAAGCTGGCTATACCAGCATTGTTTGTAGACCTTCTTTGAGATTGGTCAGCCACTTCCAGGGTGTAAAGCTACACAGTTATACTAGTAGGCAACCGTGACGTGCACTTAATCGTGATCACCCCATTGGCATAATGCAGACTGTTTGTAGCCATCTAGTCATAACCAAGCCAGTCAATAATATTGTCAAGACATATTGCTTCTTTTCAGAAAACAAAGCACAAATCTGCCATGATGCCTTCAGCCCACTCATGTATACCACTTTAACACTGCTGACCCCATTGGCCTGCACATCCCATGAAGGTACCTCCAAGCTTCACACTTGTTCCTTCAGAGGGAGTGTGACACCATCCAGATGCAGTTACACTTCTATCTCATCAGTAGAAGCATTCATTAGAAGTACGTCAGTCTGCTCTTCACTAAGCCTTGCTTTAATTCCTCTCATTCAGTCTAGTACCAAGGATAGCCATCAAAGACAGACATCAGTGGAACCCTGTCACACGTGGCTGAAATGGAAAGAAGTAGGACAACGCATCCTAGAACTTTGAATCACCTGAAAAACAGCAGTTTCATGTAGATGTTATTCAGCATGAGAGATGGATCCTAGTGGAACCCCACACTAGGGAGTGATGATGATGATGATGACGACTGCCGTAGGTGATGAAGAATTGCATCCTTCTGGTTCCTGACTTCTAGCTAAGAAGATCAGAGGAAGCTGTCCCATCTCTTTGGTTTCCCTGTGGAGTATCTGGTGCCAGCTGGCTGGCCTCCTCTGTCACAACTATTCTCTCCTATCTCCTTCTGCTGCATCCTTTCATGACCTTTCCTAATCAGACTCAGAGTCAGTTCCCAGGTCTTCTGAATGCACACATGCAAAGGTACTTGCACTAATCCCTACAGGAAGAGGTGGAGTCTGAACCCCAACACACAAAACAACTCTTTTGAACCCCTAGTTTTCTGTTCCAACAGAAACTTATTTTACAAAAGGCGATCTTTTCTCCTTGCTTCCTTCTGCCAGTTAATTCATTTGCTTCATT